TGAGCTTTTCCCTTTGATTGAAATTCCACAAAGCTCACCTGCAGCAGGTGATGTGCAGACACTTAATTGATCAGTATGTGGCACCAGAAAAATCCATTGCAGAATCAAATTTTCTGTGTGCTTATTCTCAGTCTATTGTGTGAATGAGGCAGACTTCCTCCAACTCTGCGTAGAGTGGAAGAGGTAGAGGATGAATATAGAGGCTGGGGCTTGAAAGACTTTTCAGAAGAGTTGATGCCTGAGCCAATGGATAAGAATGCAGTGGTCAGGTGGACAAGACAGGAGACAGCATGCAAAAGCATCTGGGAGACTTGGTGGATGCTTGACAAATGTTCATTGGCTGTGGCTATGGTGATAGTGAATTGGAAACAAAGCATTATGGAAATGCTAGATTTCTGGGTTTTGTAATAAATGATTCATTAACATACATTTTGGGTGCCTTTGAACTTAACACGAAAATTTGTGTTCTTCTGAAACCATTTTAATACCTTCTACTTCTGTGTCTTCAAAGCTACTTACATAAATACATCAGTAAGGAGAATATGCAGTAACAGCTAGCTGATGCAAATCAGGGACATGCTGGGGGATTCAGGTCTGGCCTTCTCCACATTTGTACTCTCAGCCTTAAAATGTTCCGATTTCACGTAAGAACTAATAGGAATGCTGGTGTTGCCAACGAGGGCTCAACCTGTAGCCAGTTCACTTGGAAATCAGGTTAATGCTAGAGTCAGCACACGTTCCTCAACAAAGGGCAGGCTTTTGTCTGATGTTGTTCCCTGAACATCTTCATTTACCTTTGAGCTAGTGTATCTTAAAACTATTTCTCTCATGGCAATAACTTCCATAAGGAAAGTTAAGATGGCTTTTTTTTTTTTTTTGTCTGAAACTTGCCTTCCTCAAGGTTCTTGGGGCCCTACTATGTTCAAATATTCTGGTCTCAGCACATCTTCTACAAGACAGTTTGAATGCTACTTCTAGAGAAGCAAGAAATGGACCTCTTATTAAGAGCTCTAGGTATAAAAGATTATTTGCTCAAAGTTACTGAAGAAGCAGAAACAAATTTAATTGGTCATGCTGATTAGCCTTTCTTCCAGGGCTACCAAGTGAGGCATAAACTTATGACAAGAAATACTCCCAAAATTTAGAAACAGCAGGACACTAAAGAAAAAAAAATCAAACCATGATGAATTTACTACAACCTATCTGGTTTTGAAATTAGAATATGCTTTCAAGTGTGAAGTGCTAATGGCTTTCTCGGTTTGTCTGGAAGTCATTCTAAGTTGTAATTGATAAAAGATAAGACATAATCTTAGAAACATAATCAAAATTAATAAAAAGTACACAAAGAAGGTAATTTACATGAAGCTTAGAAAATGGTGAATTGGAGGACAGCGGTGTGTCTCCACTCCTCATCTAAGAAAAAAGTTACCAATTCTACCCCCAATTACCAGAACAGACCAGTTACCAGACAAGCTTGATGGATCAGATACATCCTCAAAGAGCACCCTTCTTCCTCTGCTCTAACTCTATATGACATTTGGTCTCCAGAGTGTATCAGCCACCTAGAGAGAGAACAGGAATGGTACAGATCATACGGCTCCTTTTAAATCCAACACTAGCATTCTGGTTTTCAAACGTGGCTCTTCTGAGTTTGGTTAGTATAACTCAACTCCCCCCCAAATTATCCTTCCTCAGTGAACTGACAAATTGAATTTTGAAGCCTGTGAAGCTGAGGCCCAGTCTCTGGACCACAGCAACTTCACCCAGTGCTGCCAGCACGGCATGACAGAGCCAGCTGGCCTGGGGGCCTATGCTGCAGAAGAAGGGAGGTGCTGGCCAGCACTCAGTGGCAGCCTGAACCCTGCCCTTTGACCTGTCACATGGGGATGATAGTTTATGAGGGAATTAGGTGCAAGTTTTCCTTGCAGATTTTTTTCAAGGCAGATGCCTAGCATAAGGGTTCTCAATGGTGACCGAGAGTTTCCGGCTCCCCTAGAAGGAACAATTCAGTGAACTGGCTGCGGTGGAGCAGCTGAGCCCTGGAGGCAATCTGCTTGAGACTTTAGTTATGCTTTGGAGACACCAGTGAGCCCTAGAAATGTGCAATGAATTATACAGAGAGCGACAGCTACCTCCTATTCTCCTCCCTTTGATAACCAGATTCACTGCTTCTGCCATTTAGCATGTGATTCCTCACAGAGGCTCAGGACAGTGCTATTTCTTAAAGATTTCCTGCATATTTCAAAAACTATGTCACACTTTATAGAGAGGGAGGACATCTTAATATCATCTAATACCAATTCACAGTCAAATTTTCCCAGTTTTTCTAAGAATATCCTTTGCACCATTGACCAACCTAGGATGTTATATTGTACCAGGTTGTTATGGCCCTAAATCTCTTATTATAGAAGAATCCTTGTTTTTTTTTTTTTAAAGATCCAGCCAATTACCCCATAAAATAACTCACCTTCTGTATTGATGTACCTGCTTCCTTGAGGTCCCATTTATCTTGTGATTTGTGTTTTGTGTTTTGTGCGCACCCTAAAGCCTCAATTAGATTCAAGTCCAAAGGGAAAAAATATATATATAGGGAGCGATGTTGAATACTATGTGTTGTCTTGCATCCCAAGACAATGTTGTCCTGGCATCAGTGGTACTAAGTATGAGCACTGGATTAAAATGGTGATCTTCTGATTTCCCCCATGGACACTGCTCCTCTTGTGACCTGCAATAAGGAGTCTGTATGGTAGTGCCCTGGTCCCCATCAAGAATTCATCTATTTTATCAGCAGTCGCTAATCCTTGCCCCAATCAGTAATTTCCCTCTAGCATCTCCTTTTCCACAGTCAGCAGGTCTTATGCTGCATGCTCTCCAGTTATGATATGAAGCAAGACATTAGCTTCTTGATCCTAATTTCCTCGTCTGTAAAAACGAGGCTGGTCACGGCACCATCACACAGGATAACTCTGTATACAGGTTTTGCCTGGAGCCTGGTGCCACAGATGCTTAAATCAGCATTTCCGAAGGTGTGCTGTAAGAATTAATGGTCCCTCAGTGTTCTCTACAGAAGAAAGGTCCACTGTTAAAATGATGTCTAGGAAACATTTGTGCATATTATCTAATTAAAGTTTCTAGAAGTTTTCTCAGGAAAGAAATCTGCTTCCCTTTGTTTAATCAAGTGCTTTCTAATTTATTTGTACTCCGTCTCCCCAACCCTGCTTTTTAAAGCCAAGTAACACATATGAACTTTACATTAAATTGCCTTCAATTCTTCCAAAAGCTTCAATGGGGAGAGCGTCAAACTGATGAGCCAGCTACCTGTGGAGTGTTGAAAAGTGACTACACTGTCCTTTGGGTCCTGAAAAGCCACTCAAGTTAGAAGAGTTCTTAGGAGATTTAAATTTCTTTGTTGTGGCAAGAAAGGCAGAAATTGGGAACTGGGCAGTAATTCCAGAGACAAGATGTTTTCCCTAGATTTCCACCAAAGCTCACCAGGACTTGTCTTATAAGTGTCCCATAGCCACTAGGACTTGCCTAGGCTGACCATGAGTGAGTCCCTTGGACCAATACCCAGAGACTGGAGTGCAAAGAGAGCATCTTGGTTCAGTGGAAGAGCAGAGGATCTGGAGCCAGAACAAGTGTAAATGGTCTTAGATCTCCCAGGTATTCACCATGAAACCTGGGAAAATCCCTTAATCTCCCTGAACCTCAGTTTCTTCATCTATGTAATTGGTGCAATTAAACTGTTTAGCTTAATGGTTATGAAGCTGTCATTAGATACATTAGCATTTTTAAAACTATAGTAAGTCAAATTTCAATGTTGATATTATTCTTACTGATCCATTTTCTGGGTCCTCTCACCTCATCTAATATTTTTTGAACACTTACTATATACCAAGCACTGGGGTAGGTGCCTATACAGAATATAGAATAAAGCAGCTCTAGACCCTGAATTCATGGAGCTCACACTTCATGGTGGGAGTCAGAGGATAAATACACACACAAATGTTTCAAAAGTATAGTCCCTTCCTCCCAGTTACTGATGTGATATTTTTTGAATGTGCATCTCACTTACAATCCAGTGTAAGTAGATGCATTTCAAAGGTAATATTCACAGACAGTTCTCATATATTAAATGAATTTGTCAGTTTCAGTAAAGAATAAGGAATTTACCCATAATGATATTGTGTGTTTGTGTGTGTGTGGGTGTGTGTGGGTGGGTGGGTGGGTGGGTGCAGTGTGTAACCAGAGGTATTGAGGCAGGGTCAGAAAGCAGACTTCTCTTCCCTGTTCAGAGCCTCCCTCTTGCTGGGTTCCATCTGAAAAGCATCATCAGAGTGCTCCTGTTTTAATCATGTGTTATAATCACATATGTAATGGAGCACAATTGATTCTCCCAAACTTTGTTCCATGAAAAATTAAAATTTCACTAGATGTTAATAAGTCATCACTTTAAGCTTCTTGGTCTGATTACTTTAGGAACCCTGCATCAGCTCCCGTCTCCACTTTAGAGATCCAAAAATGTATATTGTGATTGTTAAAACATTATTCCTACAGTGAGGAAACCCTGTGAACTCATACCACCTGGCATTTCCCAAATTATAGAATTCTTTTAAATTCTTGAACAGTGAATGTGAATGTGCTGAATGGAAAGTGCAGCCTTACCATTAACTTGATTTTCTTCTTGCTAAAGTTTGTGAAAGCCTGGTAGTGCTCATTAACCCAAATTCAACCATGCAACTTTTTCAAAAAGCAGCTTCCTGGGCTTTAGGGCCTCAGGCAGACCCTGGATGTGTTGTGTTGTGTTGTATAGGGGCAACAGCTAGTGGGTTGTGTTTCCTTAAGCTGACCATGTCCTTTTAACCAGGGACCAGCATGGAAACAATAGAAGCTTAACGAATATGTTTCCATACCTCTTTGGAGGAAAACAATCCTCTTTATTTTTTTTTATGATCATTTTTCAAACCTTCTAAAAATTATTGTTGTTTTTATTTCTTTAGGCATTCACAGGCCCAGAGTTCTCCAAACGGGTATGATGTCTTCCAAAGACCTGCGAATAAGGTAGCTGGACATTTTGATTCTGAAATAACTGCATGTCCTTCCTTCAGACTCGACCAAGTCCGTGGGCTGGAGACCTGTCCGAGGCTGCTTGGCTGGGCCATCCAAACATGAAACTCTTAATGATATTTTGAAGTCTTTGAGACAAAAGCCCAGCCTGCTAAAGAACTTTGGTTCAGTAGAGAGACAGGGAGGTACAGGCAAGAGAGAATCAAAAGCCTGGAAATTCGCTGCTGAGAATAAATGCTCACTGCTCCCTGAGGTGATTTGTCTGAGCACTCCACTCTACAGATGGTAGAGCCTCTTTCTGAGTAAGGACCCGAGGTTCTTTGGTAGCACTTTGATATCCTGCTCGAATTCAATATGTGAAATGGAGGCGTCTCTCTGTGACTTGGAGCCCACAGCAGGCTTTGAAGTCTGATCCAATTTTTGCTGCCTACTATTTGATGTTGAAAGGATGAAATGAAGAAAATGTACAGTTTTTGCCAGTAACTCTGCTGAGCATATGTAAGATTAAAAAAACAAAATCCTTTGGATGATGTACTTAGAAATGTTAAGTAGATTAATACCTTCCTATAGGTTTTCTTGTTTCTTTCTTAAGGATAAAAATTAAGTAAAGGTGAAAATCAGCACATAGCTGTTTTTCTGTTCTGGACTATAATTAATTTAAGAAGGGGGCTAGGTTGACTTGTGCAGAAGATGCACTAAATTAATGAAGAAAAAGCATTGAGACTTTGCTTCTAATTGCCCCTAGGAGGGGACCTTCACTCAATTCTATGCAAGACAGAGGCAGCTTACAAATAGCACCAATATACTTAGTTTCTTCCCACCACGGTCAGGGTTAAGGGTCCCTTAGTTTAATGGAAGCCATGTCCTTAAGGCTGCTTTATCAGAAGATTAAAAAATAATGTTTCTCTCACTGGGTCTTTCTGAAGAATTCAATGGCTGGGACTAATGCACTGACTTCTTGGACACATCGTGCTACCCCAGATCACCAAGAACTGAGTCCCTGTGAAGCTCCTTGGAAACCTGGTAAGAAGGATATTTCAACTGCATGTTTCTCCTACCATTTGCATGTTTGTGTACTTCTTAGTGAGTTGTTTGTGCAGGACTTTCTACAAGGCAGGACTCAATTGGATGTTCTAATGACCTATTGTTAGAAAGTTCAGGTTTGGGAGGCTGTAAAGCCTGAAGTCAAAAACCCTATTAAAGGTGGAAGTTTAGTGCCTCCTCCTGCCACCCTACAGTTACATTTCCCAGGGAAGATAATGAATATCTAAGGCCATACTTTTCCCTTTACTTGCAAGAATCTCAAATTAGGAAACTTCCCCAACTTCACCTTGTTCAAGGAAAAAAACTAACAGCCTTCAGTGGAGTAGGTAGGTCCTTCAAGGTCACAATCTGGAGCTTGGGAAAGGATGTGGATTTAGGCAGCACTTCTACACTTTGGGGAAACACAACCATTCTTTCAGCAAGAAGACAGACATCTTGTCACATGCCTTTGAGAAATGACATATTCGATCCCTTTTCTAAATTCCTTGCTACTCAATACAGTAGAAGTCAGTTTTAGGCTTGTAGGTGAGTATGATCAGTACTTCTGGAAGATGAAATATAGAAATCAATTATAAAGAACATCTCTAAAACAGAAAATACGTACTCAGGATAATATGGCTCCTTCCAAAGGAAAAACTTTTGTCAACTTAATTAAGATATCCATGTTACTTAATGTCAGCCTCATCCATGTTTTGGAAAGATCCAGTAATTTCTCAGGACTCTCCAAATTTTTTCTTACTCTGTTTTTCAGTGACAAAACAGTGCAATGTGAAGTAGGAAATACATAATAAATGTGCTATGAACTTCAGTCCAAATGGAATTTAGACTCTTATAGAAAGACAAGAGAAGATGAGTCCATTATAGCAGAAACTTTTACAGGAAGTGATAAACCTGTCAAAGTCAATGTTACCCTAATAGTCAGATGGTGTTCAGGAATAAGGCCACAGTGAGGTAGGAGCAGGGCAACACAAAGAGGAGGATTTAGAGGAAAGACAGTGTGGTGGAGCACCATCCCTTATGCAAGAATTTGGTTGATATTTTTTCTCTATCCACATTGACAATCTCTACCTTTTAATTGGGGTGTGTAGCCCATTTATACTTAATGCAATGATTGACACATTTTGGCTTAAATCTATCACCCTCTGTGTATTTCTATTTGTCCCATCTGGTCTTTGTTCTATTTTGACATCATAAAACAAAAATTAAAGTATGGTTGGATAGCTAAAGGCACAGGTTCTGGAGCCTCATGTGTGCAGGACCCTAGGTTTGGTACCCAGCACTGGACTCAAATCTCCTGTGTAGCATCAGTGAAGTTACATAACAGCTTCCTGCCTGAGTACCAGTACTTAGAAACTACAGGAAACAGTAGTTTTCTCTGGGAGGGTTGTATCAGGATCAAGTGAACTAATACAGAGAAGGACACAGACTGGTACCTGCTTCATCAAAAGGGCTCAATAAATGTTGGCTGCTGCTGTGGTGGTTATTGTTAGTGTATATTATCACAAAATTAATCTATGAGTATGAACAGGTCAAGAAATAATGTCCTTATTTGTTGTAAGGCACTGGGTTGTGGTGGAAGAGTTCAGAGGGGTAAAAAAATATACTGTGTTTTGAATTAATAGAATTAATTTGAATTAATTGAATTAAAGAGAAAGACTTCTGGATCACAATCATTTTTTTTTCAGTCTTTGGAAAAATATCCCCCAGATCAAACTTAGTATGAATTACAAATCTATTTTTGTTTTTTGATACCAGGGATTGAACCCAAGGGTGCTTAACCACTGAGCCACATCCAGCCCTTTGTTGTATTTTATTAGAGACAGGGTCTCACTGAGTTGCTTAGGGCCTCGATAAGTTGCTGAGGCTGGGTTTGAACTTGTGATCCTCCTGCCTCAGCCTCCTGAGTGGCTTGGATTACAGGAGTGCACCACCTTGCCTGGCTATGAGTTACAAATCTGTTTGGCTGTAAATGGCTCTTATGTGTTTTGCTTTCAAAACTGTCCCTTTTAATCTGAATAACCTTTAGGGTGTCTATCACCATCGCCATCACTTCCCTTGCAGTCTTATAAGCCACCCAGAGTGGTTTCCCTGCCTCCATTCATTTCTTCCTTCATCCTCACTTATGCACAGAAGCCTAAGGAGCTTTTCTAAAGCACAACCCTCATTACAAGCTCCCTTCCTCCATACTCTTCAATGGCTCTCCAGGACCCCAGCACCAACTAGAAGCCTTTTGACATGACGTTCAGGCTTTCTCTGCTCTATGGTCTCAATCTTCCTTTCTAGCTCTAATTTCCACTGATGACTCTCATTCTATGTTCAGCATCTAAACTGAACATGCCCGATGTATTCTTTCCCTCCTTTGTGATTTTTGTCATGCTGTCCCCTCTATGTTCCTTTCCCCTCCCTCTCCATCCTCCAAGGTCCCAGACTCCCAGTCCTGTGCCCTTTGTACTTATTTTCATGCATTTAGATTTAAACTCCCTGGGATTGTATCTATGCCTTTAAAGATTCTCTCTGCATAACTCAGCCTCACATTTGCCTGTGCCCCACCACTGAGCTATACCCCAGCCCCTGCTCTGGTTCTTGAATTAAATTCTCCATCATCCAAAATCATAATGAAATATAATGGAAGTGGAAATGAAATGAAACTCTACTTGAGTAAGTGAGAGATAAGTGCTTAAAGATATTTCTAATAATCCTGGAATAAACTTAATGTCTCCCAGTTATCACCAAACAGATATGACATACTGGGAAAACAAGTTAAAATAATCCAAGTTGTTTCACTTTGCTGCTAATATTTTAGACAGGGCAAGAACGTTCTGGCTAGAAAAAGCATTATATATAAATCAAATTTCCCTTATCCTTAGCAAGCAATAAGGATGAATCAAAGAACAAAAAATTTACAGTTTTGTTTATAGTAGCAGTTGCAGGAATGAGAGTATATCTTCAAAAGGCAGTTTAACAAATTATACCTACATATTTAAATATACCTTTATATTCTTTGCCTTAAATGACTTACTCTTTCAACCCATGTTTTTGTGGGTGACTGAATAAAAATACTGTAACCTTTTTAGTTTAAAAAGTAGCATCCAACAGCATCCAACTTGCAGCAAGGACAGACTTCATTGCTCTGACCGGCTGGGGGTCCATCTAAAGCTCCTGATCCCAAGCTCTGCCACATAGAGAAGTCTGTAAAGGTGGGTCTAGGCCAAAGCTGCCCCTTAGTGAGAGAATCTAAGAAATATCACCAACTGGCCCATGTGCTCACATGGACAGAAAATCACAACACACCCAGAAAACATATAACACAAATCACTTTGCCACTAATCCAAACAGTTAAATTATTTAATGGGACCTACAGGAATGTATACAGACTTAATCTGATTTTCCTACATAAACATTTATTAAATATTCCTTAGGAATAAATGTTCTCCTCTTTGTTTATTCATTTATTTATTAAAAAATAATTATTAATACTCACTAAATGCCAGAGACTGTCCTTAGCCAGTACTTCTCAAATTGTTTTGAAAGACCATTTTTCCCAATCATTTTCCAATTTGCAGTCTGATACTTTTATGAGACACAACAAAAATAAATCACCAGCAAAACAGTCATGCATTTGGATATTGTGCCAACAGCAAATTGGTCTCAACTTCTCTAAATCTCTGACTCTACACCAACTCACTCTTTACTGAACTTTCTTTACTAATCTTGGTGGGGACCAGTAACAGGAGCCAGCCTGCGACCACATGACCACAAGTCAGTGAGCAACACAGGCACATTCCTGTTCACAAGATGCCACAGGCTAGCAGAGAGAAACAGGAAACAGCAAGCAGGATTAAAAAATGAAATAAAATAAAGAAGTCAGTGGAGTACTGGGGTAAGCACAGCAAGGGTGGCGAGGAGAAGCCCAAGTATGCAGGGTGGGGCTGGGGGTGGTAGGGCCTTAAATAGATGGTCTGGGTGGCTTCACTGCAGATTCCAGGTTTGAAGGCTTGAAGCTGGCAAGCCAGTGGCCTCTAGAAGAGCTCTTCAGGCAGGGAAACAGCCCGGGCAAAGCCCTGAGAGAGCCGGCAGGAGGGGTAGAGAGGCGCCTCTGTGATTGGAGCTGAGAGAGGAGAGGGGAGGAGAGTTGTAGGAAATGAGGAGCCAGACCACAGAGGGTAGCTCTTCAGAATCCTAGCCTCACCCTGGGAATCTGGTTAAAATGAAGTCTCTGAATCTGCAGCTCTGCAGGGCCTCTGACATTCTGTAACTCTCAGGAGCTTCCTGTGGGCTGCCTTTTTGGTCCCTGATCCACATTTTGAGTTGTGAGGGTGTCATCTCAGGGAAGGGGCTAGGCAGCACTTCCAGCACAGGAGGAGAAACGTCTCAATTGTGTTTTGCTTTTGTTTTTGTTTAACTTAAAAAACAAACAAAAAAACCCTTCTTCGTCTTCTAAGTTATATACACCAGGATCACAAAAGCGGGGAACAGAACCTGCTCCAATTCCATCCCCAGCACCCACCCTTCCCACTCCTCCACTGATCCCTCTTGAATCCATTTACAGTTTACTTTTTTTTTTTTTTTAATTAGCGTTCTGTGCACACACCTGATCCAGGATCCACCGCACCCCATCCACGCCTGCTCATGAGAAAACTCGCTCAGATTCATTCCACTGTTTTCCCTGTCTCTTCTTTGTCCCCTTCAAATCCAATACTGATCTTTCCTCTCCTTTGATGAAATTCCCTCTCTCTTTTTTTGTCCAGTCTCTCTTTCTTTATTTTTGTTGTTGTTTTCTGGTTTTGTTTTGTTTTAAGCAAGCCCTCCAGCTTTGGGCTTAAGGATCAGTGGTAGATGTCATCAAGGAATGAGACAGTCTGCATGAGAGCCTTTTCCAGACAAAGACACTTTCTAAAACCTGTAACGGCTTTCACACTGAGTGTACCAAACACCATTCTCAGTGTCTCAGGACCTGATTATTAACAATTATCACACTG